TGCCACAGTGCCTGCCCCAATTTCTAGTCCTCTATCAAAAAGTGCGATATTCTCTCCATTTCTTATTTGGTTAAACAGAGTTACATGTTGTACTTAACTGAATCGCACATCACTGGACATTTAGCAGCTTTTTTCATACTTATTGAGTGGCGTACAGTGCCTGAGCCATAGTGATTCACTACACATGAATTAGTTACCCCAGCTCCTAGTTTTAAGCGTTGTGACCTACTTTGTGAAATGTGAAGGTTTCTCCTCTTGAATTGCAAGGCCTGGCCTGCAGCGTATAATCCTTTATGTGTATGTCCTCCTAACAAACGTGTGCCCAATTTTCTCTCACTGTTACCTTTCTAGGGAGGCCTGTGTGTGTGTGTCTGAAGGCCCTGTCAGCGTAAGAAGGCATACTGCTTTGCAGGAAACTTTTCTTCTTTTTCAGGAGTTCTTTTTTAAACTTTACGCATTCAGGGGGTACAGTATAGTAATTCAATACAAAGTAGATCACGTATAAAAGTAGATCAGGGTAATTAGCATTTCCAGCTCCTTAAAAATTTGTCATTTCTCCGTGATGGGCACTTTGGAACTCTACTGCTGCAACTCTTTATAAAATGTATAACGCATTATTGCAAACTGCAGCCCGTATGGTGCTGTCTGGCAACAGTACTTCTTCCTTCTTCTTCTTTTTTTTAATTTGATAGGTAGAGTTATAGACAATGGGAGAGAGAGACAGAGAGAAAGGTCTTCCTTCCATTGGTTCACTCCCCAAATGGCCACTGTGGCTGGCGCGCTGCGCCGATCCGAAGCCAGGAGCCAGGTGCTTCTCCTGGTCTCCCATGTGAGTGCAGGGCCCAAGCACTTGGGCCATCCTCCACTGCACTCCCGGGCCACAGCAGAGAGCTGGACTGGAAGAGGAGCAACCAGGACTAGAACCCGGCGCCCATATGGGATGTCGGTGCCTCAGGCGGAGGATTAACCAAGTGAGCCACAGCGCCAGCCCCATGTACTTCTTCCTTCTAACTGTACGTTGGTGCGTATGGGACCTCTCTCTGCTCCCCCTTCCTCCTACCCTTCTAAGCCTCCAGTGACCAGTATTCTAACTCTCACTAAACCATCTCTTCATTTCCACATATGAGTGAGAGCATATAGTATTTGCCTGTCTGTGTCTGGTTTACTTTGTGTAACATAATGCCCTCTAGTTCATCTATGTAGTCACAAATGACAAGATTTTTAATGATATTAATATTAATAATGTGTTAATAATATGACAGTAATATTCCTTTGTGCGTTTATACCACTCTCACCAGTCAAAGGACACCTCAGCTGATTCCATACCTCAGCTGTTGTAGTGAACATCAACATGGAGCTATCTCTGTGAGGTCCTGATTTCACTTCCTTTGGATGTATTTTTCCCAGCACTATTTATTAAGAACTTGTCCCTTTTTCAGGGCATGTTTTTGACACCTTTGTCAGAGATCAGCTGGCTGTACACAGGTCTGATTTGGGGCTTTCTATTCTATCCTGTTGGTCTGTGTGTCGGTTTTGATGCCAGCACCATGTTATTTTAGTTTTGTAATGTGTTTTGAGGTAAGATATTGTGATGCCTCCAGGTTAGTTCTTTCTTGATCAAGATTTTCTTTTTTGGCTACTTGGGATCTTTGTGATTCCGCATGAATTTTAGGATCTTGTTCTATCCCTGTGAAGAATGCCATTGGTATTTTGGTGAGGATTGCCTTGCACCTGTACATCACCATGGGTAGTACAGACTTATTTTTTAAAATTTTACTTATTTATTTGAAAGTCAGAGTCACACAGAGAGAGGAGAAGCAGAGAGAGAGAGAGAGAGGTCTTCCATCCAGTGGTTCACTCCCCAATTGGCCTCAACAGCCAGAACTGCGCCTATCAGAAGCCAGGAGCCAGGAGCTTCTTCCAGGTCTCCCACGTGGGTGCAGAGGCCCAAGGACTTGGGCCATCTTCTTGCTGCTTTCCCAGGCCATAGCAGAGAGCTTGATCGGAAGTGGAGCAGCCAGGTCTCGAACAGGCACCCATATGGGATGTCAGCGCTTCAGGCCAGGGCGTTAACCTGCTGCACCACAGCGCCGGCCCCTAGTACAGACATTTTAATGATAGTCTATGAACATTGAAATGTGGTGGGTCTTAGTGCAAGTGCAGTCATTTCTGCAGTGAAGAACCTTGCTTCACCTGTAGTGTATTTGTATACTAACACTCCATTTCTTTGCTCATTATTCTAATGTTATATTATAGTAATGTTTCAGAGCCATTTAAAATGATAATTAGGACCTTTAAAAGTTAACTGAGCAATTCTCAATTATCAGTGGAAATCATAATGAGATGATGCCTGCTCTGCTCAGCCAAGGTCATATGTACGTCCTTCCAGCTGGAACAGACAAGTTACAGTTTACCCCTCTGCCTGTTACCTTAACAAGGTTTATTTTTTGCCCTCATGATAAATATATTCTGTTTTCAGAAACACTGAAATATGGAAGGAGAATAGAATTAATAATTAGAATTTTAGCATTTTATATTTCCTTGATTGTTAAATGGTGGATTTTAAATTTATTTTTTACCATGTTGTCATCTGCATCAAAAATCACAGAAATTACTTCATCTATACCTATCACAATGGTGAAAAAAATCTGTAGCTTTCCCCAGCGAAAGCATCATTGATTAATAAAACTGTGCAGTAGCTAGCGATATTGGGTAGGCGTCCTCAGGGTCATTGCCTTGTGTATATATTTATGAAACTTGGAAAATCAATGCTTAATGATCCCAGTGTTATTATGTAACATGTCATATAATCTTATGGGAATTTTTACCCCACATTCCTCTAAGGAGTTCAAGAGTCTTTCATGCTGATTTGATGGCAACTGATCACTGCCACCATGTTCTCTTCACTTTCTCCAGTGCTTCTTTTCACAGTTTAGACTTGTCTGTGAGCGTCTGTCCTCTTCCAAGGAAAGCTTTCGAAGCCAGTGCTCTTGGGCTTGGCCTCTCCAAGAGGGGTGGAGTGTCGGCATTACCACAGTAACATTTCCCAGCCTGGTTTCTCCCGGAAGCCTGGGGAATCCTCGCCCTATCCACCAGAAGTGACAGGAAAGAGGAGCTACGCTCCAAGTCTGAGCCACTAGAGTGGCAGAGGGCCCCTGAGCAGGGTGCAGTGGGATGCAGGCTGCGGGGTCCATGCCCCAGTGTGAAAAGTGTCCAGACCTGTGCTGCGCATCTTACCAAGGTTTATGTGACAGCGGTGCGACAGTTTGCCCCATCTTCCTGTGAGATCCTGGGGCTCTTGCCAAGAACAGACTCCCAAAGAACACAAGCCCGGAAGTTCTGGAATCAACTGCCCGCCCAAACTGATACCTTTATGCTACTCAATTAGGGATTTCCTTCTCTCGATTTCACGTTCACATCATTATATTTTTACCCAGTCTTGGTAATTTTGTACCAGTTCACAGCAAGGGTATGAAAGACACAGAAACTATATATATAGTAATGCCCAGAATTGGAGCATATAGAGTTTCTTTGTGTAATGGTTGCTCTGCTCCCAAAACAGGCACCCAATGCCTGCCACATGGCTCTGTATTTTCAGTGACAATGCAGTCAGACAGTACACAGTGATGGAAGTATGCTGAAGTCAATGTGGACTTCATTGTCCATAATATTTGCTTCACCCACTGCTCATAGTAGCAGCGCCAGCTCACAGAGATTGCCCAGCTCCTTCTTACCTGATTCCACGTGCTAGCTCATTTAATCATCACAACAACTCACCCAAGTAGATACTAGTGTTTCCTCGCTTAAAGGAGACTGCAAACAGAGTGATTATTTTACCTTGATCAAATATTTGGCAGTCATGAAGGGATGATTGGAGCCAGGCTGTGTGACTCCAGAACACATGATTTTTTTTAACCACTATCTAATTTGTATGCATAGAAGTATTTTAACTATTCTTGCAACTTTTTATTCATAATATAAATACAGTTATCAGTTATAATATAAAGAGTTGCCTTGACTAGGAAGGTTGTTTACCATTTACCACTGTCTTAGCCACCTGGCAGAAGTTATTGTGGCAAAGTATCTTATGGAATTACCTTTAGAAAAGTAACTCAGAAGATTTTTGAATGTAGAAAATCAGAGATTGGGATGGGTGCTATGGCATAGTGAGTTAAGCAACTGCCCACGGTGTCGGCATCCTATATGGTGTCAGTTTGAGTCCCAACTGCTCCACTTCTGATCCATCTCCCTGCTGATAGCACAGGAAAGCAGTGGAAGATGGCTAGAGTGCTCGGACCCCTGTACCCACACGGGAGACCTAGAGGACCCTCCTGGCTTCAGATCAGCCCAGCTTCAACTGCTGCAGCCGTTTGGGGAATGAACCAGCAGATGGAAGACTTCTTTCTCTGTTTCTCCCTCTCTCTGTCTGTAACTCTGCCTCTCAATTAAAAAAAAGAAAGAAAAAATCAGAGATGTGTGCCGTATAAAATGTTCACCTACTGTTGTTTTTAGCCATTTCCATCTGCATTCCAAGTCACAGAGAACTTAAACTAAAATTTCTTCTCCACAAGGAAAATTTCTGAAGATCTCATTTTCTCTGGGTTTGCAGACAATGTTAACAAGTTCAAACTGATGATTTTGTTACCTTATAAATTTTCTAGAAGCACTAGGAGAGAAAATCCCTAAGAAATGCGTCACCATTACATTTCCAGGTAGCGAGCATTTCTCCAGGGGTTCATTTGCATGCTGTCTTCCTGCTCTTATGCACTTTGAGTCAGCTCATTTTGTTGTTCCATATGTTAAGACAATTAAACATGTCAAAATCCGCACAAAACACGTTTCTCTGTCAGCAGTACAGACACCTTTCCATTCGTTCTACCGTGTTCACACAGGACCTCACTTACTGAAAAGATGCCGCGTTTCCTGTTATTGATGCACAAAGTGTGTCAGAGACCCTGCAGAAGTCATTGAAATTCAGGGTTATTTGTGTGTCATTATAGGCTAAAGGGAAAGAGCGACAGTGGCTGAGACACCAAGCTACTGGAGAACTAGATGACGCCAAGATCATTGATGGGCTGACTGGAGAGAAAGCCATCTACAAACGCCGGGGTGATCTGGAGCCACAGGTAAGTCCAGCGAACACCGGCCTCGTATGTGCATAGTTCAGCCCTCCTTACAGAAACTTGCTTTCTTGAGGTATGCAAGACACCATAAACCTTGAATATGGGAAGCACTGTATTTAAAAAAAGAAAAAACGAGCAAGGTGAAACATAAACTTTAGATTATTTAGGATACAAATCAAAGCCCAAGCAAGGGAACATAAGGAATGCTTAAGTTGGGCAATCTAAAGAACAGTTAATACAAAGACTGTAGCTAAATCGAAGGGTGAGGCTTAGGAAAATCCAAATGAGACAGTAAATCGGAGCTAGCAACAGCCGGGATCTAATCCCACCCCTAGGGGTAACAGGCCAGAGCGAGAGAACAATGGCAGGAACCCCCGAGAAGGGAATCTGAGAAATCTGTGGCCTTGATGGAGGAAGAGCCGGCCCACGGCGACAGCAGAGAAGGAGCAGCATGAACACTTACCCAGCTTCACCCTCAGATCTGCCGCTGGGAGTCAGCAGCCAAGAAGCGGCTGATGCAGGCATGGAGGGCAGCTCCTAGGACCGAGAGGTGCCCTGGAGGGGAACCTGAAGACCCTCAGTATGTCTGCTAAGCCCAGGGAACTCTTCAGGCGCAAGTAGTAGAGAAATCTGGGTGTTTTCTGCTGTTCTATTACTGGAAAGATCTATGCCCATCACATCACTGAGGAAAATTCTAGAAAACAGGAGACCTTCCCTTAAATAACTCGAATTGTAGTGTGTCAGGTTACTGGCAGCACAGTGAAATATTGAGTCTGCAGAAGAGCTCTGTGATTTCCGGCATTGCTGAGCGGCCTGAGAGCTGGGGGCTGGCGACTGGCAGGGCAGGGAGAGCCAGTCCATGTAAATATTTACACCGGGAGGCTCTGGTGGTAATTTGGAGTGTTCTTCTGTCTGTGGCATGGGGATGAGTCAGCTGCCTGCCTTACTGACTCATTGTGGTCAGCACATGTGTTTGGGTACATCTGAAATTGTGAATAGTCATGGAAGCATGTGTGACAGTGATCTTAATTTGGACAGATTCAATCCGTTATTTAAAGGACATTACATTTGCCTCAAATCATTATTCTAATACCCACAATATTTTCTTCAAATTGCTAACTTGCCTCATTAATTTTATTTCAGCAAGTCTATAACAACAGAATAATCTAGATTTAATTTTTTTTATTTTTGGTCAACAAAAGTGACAGACGTCTCTAAATTCTGCAGATTGGCAGGTGTGAGTTGAAAATCAAACTGGGTCTCGTGTGTCTCGCCTTTTAACTGACAGTTGTTGCTGGACAGCAGTTACCTACCGCGTCCTTGCTTTGAACTGCTGAGCAGAGAGAGGCAACAGTGCAGCAACTGGAAGGAAGGCAGCACCGGAAGTTTACCAAAGACAAAGGCCTTCGAAAACAGTTTCCTTCGGTTCTCTGCCAGAACCTCTCTCCTGTGCCCTAGTTTCAGGGATCTGACATTTCTTGGGGCTTCTGTGTAGCCATCACTGCACAGCAGGTACCAGTGATGTCAGTGTCGGTGTGAGCTTCCCTCCAAAATGATGCCCACTCTCTTGCTGGAGATAGTGACTCCGAGGCATGAAGTGAAAATGACATGCTGGGGTTTCTGTCTTGCCAGATTATCGTTTTAAAGGTATCATATATATTTTTTTTAAATATCAGCCTCCATAAGTCAACTTCACTAGACTAGATTGGGCCTTGACAGGACTGTATTCCAAAGGAAGGTGTTTTCCACACGGCCCTGACTACTAACAGGAGCCTGGCATTCCCTTCGCTGAAGTCCAGCCATTGCCTTTGCACCTGCCAGGACAGCCCTGTTCAGTGCCCAGCTTCCAGCTGATCTCACAGGCCAGCAGCCATTGATTTTCTGGTTCACGGCTTTTCTATCATCCGCTCTCCCCCTCCCTCCCTCCATCAGCTGGGCAGCCCGCAACAGAAACCCAAACGTCTACGGCTGGTGGTGGACGTATCTGGCAGCATGTATCGCTTCAACGGGGTGGACGGCCGGCTCGAGCGGTCCATGGAGGCTGTGTGTATGGTCATGGAAGCCTTCGAGAACTATGAGGAAAAGTTCAAGGTAATGGTATGAATGAGAATGATGGGAGGCCACCTTGACCACATCTACCCAGGAGTCAGCCTGACATCAGCCTGACATCCGGGCAGAACAGGTGACACTGTCCATCCTCCCTGCTCATTTGCTGATAGCACAGAGCACGTGACCCTGTTTGTTTTACCTGCTCAAATAATTAGAATACAGTACCATATGGATTGTTTTTAGTTGTTTATTTGACAGGCAGATTTACAGAAACAGGGAGACAGAGAGAAAAAGATTTTCATCCACTGGTTCATTTGCCTAACAGCTGCAACAGCTGAGGCTGGGCCAGGCCAGGCCAGGCTGAAGCCAGAAACCTGGAATGCTATCCAGGTCTCCCACATGAGTGCAGGGACCCAGGCACTTGGACCATCCTCTGCTGCTTTTTCAGGCGCATTAGCAGGGAGCAGGATCAGAAGTGGAGCAGCCGGGACTCAAGCCAGCACTCATATGGGATGCTGGTGTTGCAAGCAGCAGCTTAACCTGCTGTGCCACAGTGCTGGCCCCAGAAAACAACCCCATGAGTTAAAGGACTGATTACTACAGAAGAAAGCCCCGTACCGGAAGGAAAGGGCTGCTTTAGGCAGTGGATGCTGCAGGCTGACACAACCCCCAGGACTGCACAAAGCATAAGAAGCGGGCAGATGGTGGCCCAGCTCCCAGGAGTTCCGAGAGCCATTCCCGTGCCTCCAGGGAGAGGCAGTGTGATGATCAGAGTGCTGAGACTCCCTTGCACCTCACTCGGTGGAGTTATGCAAGGATGCCTATTTGTCCAGTCCTCACTATTGCACAAAAATATTTATTTTTAATTCTATTTTCCATGACCTTTTTAAAACTTATTTTTTCAAAATTTTGATTAGTTTTTAGCAGAGTCAATATGGTTGGTAGATTCTATTTTTCCATGAACTTTTTAAAGTCCCCTCATATGTATATGTTCTTTCATTTACAAGTAAATAATAATCGGACAGTGTTGTGTCACAGCACGTTCCCCCCCATATACACACACACACCCCAGTTTGGATGCCTGTGTCCTGTTTCACAGTGCCAGTTCGAATCCTGGCACCTCTGCTTCTGCCCAGCTTCCTGCTGGTGCATACCATGGGAGACATCAGGTGATGGCCACACACGTGGGAGCGTCAGATTCCTTGCTTCTGTCTGGCCCAGCCTTGGCTGTTTGCAGGCTTTTGAGGAGTGAATTAGCAAATGGAAAATCTCTGTGTGTGTGTGTGTGTGTGTGTCTGACTTTCAAATAAAGGAGCTTTTTTTAAAAAAAGTAGGTTGTAATCATCACAATGCTTTAATTCTAACTGCTGTATTATACTTTATACTCAGACTTCTCTAACACAATTTCAACACCATTATCACACCTAGGAAAACTGCCAGATATCACATCATATCCTACACAAACCCAGTTTTCCCAAGAGTGTCAGCAATCAGGATCCAGTCAAAGTCCACATCCTCCTTTTGGCTGTAATATCTCATTAACCTCTCAATCTGGGACAGCATCTCCACTTCCACTACCAGTTTTTGCTTCTCGTGAGTCTCTCCCTTGAGAGTCCAAATCAGTTGTCTCGTGGACCATCCTTATTCTGGATTTGTCTGGAGGTTTTCTCAGTGGTGCTATTTAAACTTGTCCCAGTATCCCTTCTACTTCCACAACTCCTTACAGCCCTTCCCGCCACATCCGGCACCCTGGAGACCACATCCCTTACCTACCCACCCCTGCCAACACGGCTGAGATTCTGAGTGGCACCCGGCCAGTCTGTGGTAGGGCCCCCCCCCCGCCCCGAGGCCACCTCTGTAAAGGCAGGAGGCAATGGGATGAGCCACTTACATTCTGTTTACAATAAAGTATTTGGGGCATAGGTAACAGGTGCACATAGTACAAAATATGAAAGGTACAAAAGGAGAAAGGATGAGGAGCACACCTCCACCCGCCCTCTCCCAGCTGCCTGCTCCTCTCCCTGGTGCAGCCATGGTTAGTGGATGTTCTGGTCTCTTCTCAGAAGTACTTGACCAACATATATCAAGTGGCTGCACACCACGCACTCTGCTCTGTGTCCTTGTTATATGATCATACCCAACTCACTTAATCTCTCCATACTTTGATTTCCTCATTTGTGAAAGAGGCATAAGGACTAGAAACAACTAAGGGAATGACGTAATATGCCCAGAAAATGTAAAATGACACCTGAGCACACCACAGTTTGCGGAGCTCCTGGTGAAAAATGTACCCTGTAGCCCAGGGTCGCATCCCCTGTGGTACCTGTAGGAATCCCACAGTGTGATCTGAGACTCCCACCCCCAGTTCCAAATGGTTCTTGATGCAGTCATGTCTGGGGTGTAAAGGTGTCTGGTCTGTATTTGCTTTGAAGCCTGGTCCGGGCATTGGGCTCCTCCCATTTCTCTTGGCACCTGCCTGGTGTTGTCTTTGGTTTGGGCTCAGCTCTGAGCCGTGGGTCATTACAGCCCCGGGTCAGGAGACTTAGGAGTGAGCCTCCACTTTTCATTCCACGTTAGCATGACCCAGGCCAAACCACAGAGACCCTTGAGCAAGAATACTCGGAAGGAAAGGCAACTCCGTGGCAAGACACATCTCAAAGCCATCTGGCATGTTTAAGTTGTCCGTATTTGTTCTGCTGACTCAAGTCACTTATTCTCAGGAACAGCATTCACAGCAAGTCACTTAAGACAGGAGCAACATATTCACCTGTAATCAACAAAAATTCTAAATTAAAATTAATTTTTATTTGTTTGAGAGCCAGAGACAGATTAACAGACAGAAATCTTTCATTCACCGGTTTACTCCCCAAATGCACACAACAGCCAGGGCTGGGCCAGGCCAAAGCCAGGATCCTGAAACTCAACCTGAGTTTCCCATGTTGGTGGCAGGAACTTAAGTACTTGAGCTGTCGCCTGCTGCCTCCCAGCGTGCATCTGAGCAGGAAGCTGGATTCGCAAGTGGAGCCTCCGGCACTACAATGTGAGATGCAGGCATCTCAAATGACGCCCTAGCCGCTGTACTTAATGCCTGCCTAGCATAATGTTGAGTGAAAGGTACCATGGTCAGGCTTAGCTGGCCCATTTTGTTTTAGTCAGGACACATTGTTCCTTTACCGTCATTTCCCATTTGTTTCTCGTGATTTCTCCAAGCACTAAGAATGTCTTCACTGTAGTCTTAAATGAGAATTCCTCTTCAAAAGCTCAGAATACCTTAATTTTTTTCTTCAAGGTACTCAATAACAAAAGCTTGGTGAATATTTCTCCACTAAGCACTCAAAAAGGGCACCAGAAGACAGACTTATACAAAAGTTGAACTTGGGTAAAAGCAAATAAGACCTCAAAGGTATCGTCTCTATGAAGGCATGTAAATGGTGTAAACCACATTCTAAGGCAGCGGTTTTCTAAGAGTGTGACAATGAGCCCCTGAAGGGTGTTGGGGGGGTGGGGTGTGTGAGCAACACTTCCTTCCCCACCCCCCTCCGTCCACCCCCAATTCTACTAAAACAGTCCCACCTGTATTGATATTGTACGATATGCATTTAGGTGGGTTTTTCTGAAATATTTCATTTGGAGAAAGGGTTCCACTACTAAAAAAAAAAAAAAAACACCAAAAACTTAAAGGAAAGGGAAAGCCATTATTGTAGGATTAATCCTGGATTGCTATTTCTTCTAGATTCTGAAGGCTTTCTTTTTGGGAAAATATGTTGTCAGTCCTCAGATGTGGTCATTCATTCCTCCCCTGATAGGTGGAAGCAAGGCATAGGTGTTCCTAAAACTACGAAAAGTCAACTGTTATACCATTTCTTGGGTGTGCCATTGCATTTTCATGGAACCTTAAGGAATGGAATGGATCTTAGAAATTGTTCCCACCCTCCTCCTCATTTTACTGGCAAGAAAACTAAGAGAGGTTAAGGTTATACATCTAGACTAGGAAAAACCAGGACTAATGACACTTCAGGGCTCTTTCTGAGTTGTTTCATGCATATTTCTTTTTTTTTTTTTTTTAATTTGAAAGTCAGAGGAGGGCGGAGGCAGGTGGGGGATCTTCCATCTGTTGGTTCACTCCCCAGAGGATCACAACAGCCAGGAGCTTCATCTGGGTCTCCCATGTGGGTAGCAGGGGCCCAAGCACTTGGGCCATCTTCTACTGCTTTTGTCAGGCCATTAGAGGGAGCAACCAGGACTTGAAATGGCATCCATACAGAATGCAGGCATTGCAGGCAGTAGCTTTACCTGCTGTACCATGATATTAGCTCTGTATTTCTTGAAGTCATTTTATTTCCACCCAGTTAACATTTTCAAAAATCTATAATTGAAGAGCAAATCATTATTACTTAGGTAAAGTGCTCTGTCTTCTCCCACTCTCAGTATCTTCTCATCTGTTGGAGGTTTAATACATGTAGTTTTCTCTAATATATCTTGGTCAGGAAGACTGAGTTAACTGTCAGAAGAATATAGAAAAACATGATTCACCTGCTAGGAAAAGCCTTTCTATCAAGAACTTAGTTCAGTGTCTGTAATTAACCTCCTTTTCCCATTGTCTTAGGAAAATGTTCCAAACACTTGGAGATGGACACTTTGAATCATTCTTATTGCCACACAGAGTTAGAACCAAAGAAGAGTGTACGCTTCTCTGCACTCATGCCAAATTTTGCAAGCATTCAGGATAGACTCAACTGTCACTGTAAAAATATTGGCCAAGTCAGCCATTCCAAACACTTAATTAGAGGTGAGAAGATAGACTCATTGGGGAAATTAGTATTGCTCTACAGTTAAAAAAAAAAGATAGATTGGGGGGCTGGTGGTTAAGCCTTCATCTGCAGTGCAGATATCCCATATGGGAACTGGTTCAAGTCCCAGCTGCTCCATTTCTAATCCAGGTCCCTGCTAATGTGCCTGGGAAAGCAGAGGAAGATGGCCAAGTCTCTGGGGGAATCCATGTGGGAGACCCAGAAGAGGCTCCTGGCTCCTGACTTCAGCCT